TGATAACAGCTTACTTTGATGTTTATTATACATGTGTCTTTTATATATATATATATATATATTTATGCGTTTATGGGAGTTTGTATATAGTGGATCCAAGAAAATTTCCACAAACACATGCTTACTTATCCGCATACCATAAAACCGGTTTTCTATGAACTTGCAGAATTTAAAAACATCATACGAATAAAAAGATTCTATTTTAAATTCTACGAGATGCATGCGTACTTCGATTATTGTTCCCGGTTTTTTTTTTAAATGATAAGTACTGATTAGAAAACTAGTCTAACAAAAATAACTTCAAACATTTTTTCTTTTTAATTTCTTTTTGAAACCTAATTACGTGAATGATATTTTTATACACTTTATATAATATTTGTATGTGATAAATTGTTAAATTAATAATAATAATAAATTAATTTTTTGCGTATACAAAATTAAATGTAGTTTTATACGCGAGACAAAGATGATTAATTAAAAGATAAATGTTCTTGTGTTTCTTTAGCGATAAATATATACATTCTTTAATTATCGAGAAACACTTACTAATGTTATCAATACACGGAATATGCAGTTATACGAGATGCATACATATGTGCAGTAATGTGAGAACGATATGCGCATAACTGGTTTATTAGATTAGTTGATTACTCTGCAAAAGTACAAGGTTCACAATTCTTTAAATTGTATTATGAGATGGAATATTTCAATATCCTTGAAAGAAATAAATTATTTAATTTGTACATTATATATATATAACATTATTTGATACAATATACATTTAATAATTTTTCTATAAATATTTACAAAAATATTTATAGCCTAATAGAAATCTATTAGGTTTTCTCAATTACGTTGTTCTCTTTTTCGTTTTCACATTTATGTATGATTTCTGTAAAAAAGAAACAAAACGAAGAGGATAAAGAAATAATAAATTGTAAAAATTTTAAAGATATTTATCGATCGATGTAAGACAAACTTACTTTTAACTATTTCTTGTAAAACTAGGATTGTCGGTGATTCTGGAATGTCTGTTAAAAAGTTTTTTCCTTCGTCGCAACATCTTGCTATTAAAGGATCTAACGGTAATGATCCTAAGAAATCAATATTTAAATCAGCAGCCATAGCACGACCACCACCTGTCAATGCTGGAAATATTTCAGCAGAATTCTAAAGAAATTATATATGATTAAATTCTTTTTAAAAGATTTTTTATTTTCTTTGTTAAAATAAAAAATGAGTCGTTTTACCTTGCACTTAGGACATACGAACAAACTCATATTTTCAATTACGCCTAGTATAGGAATGTTTACTTTATTACAAAAATCTATTTCTTTTCTGACATCCAATAGAGCGACTTGTTGAGGTGTAGTGATAACGATTGCACCAGTAATACCAGCACTTTTTAAATACGTAGTCACAGACAAATGTTCGTCTGAGGTACCAGGCGGTGTATCCAGAATAAGATAATCTAAGTTGCCCCAATCAACTTCTGATAAAAATTGTCGGATCATACCATTTTTTTTAGGACCTCTCCATATTACTGCATCGCTTGGACTACCCAGTAAAAATCCAATTGACATTAACGATAAATTATCTTCAATATACTAAAAAGAAAGACATTAACAAAATTTATTAATTATTATCTTGTTGTATAGAATTTATTAATTAAAAATTACCACAGGAGACCAGCCAGAACCACTTTGGTGTATTTGTTCTCCGAGTGCTCCTAAAATTCTTGGTTGTGATGGACCGCAAATATCAATGTCCAATACAGCAATCTATACACACACACAATAATATTGTAAGATAATATTATTGGAAAAATAATTTATGTTCATATTTAAGTGTTGCTATGTTGGTTACTAGAAATCAAAGCTTTTAGGGAGGATATATAGAAATTGTGATAATCAATAAGAGGCTAGTACAAGTTGATACGACATAGATACCTATACATCTATAGATATAGTTAACTCGTTGCTATTTTTAAGTTAGAAGGAAAGGGTATAATACAGTTCAATATGAAAGCATGTACATAGAGAATCACATGGATGTGCTTGGTCTAGGAAAAAGGGTACGTAGATGTAGATTTTTAAACATTTATTTTAAAATATAAATACTTACATTTTTATCTGGATTACTATCAGCGAGGACTCTAGATACCAATGAAGTTACCGTACTTTTACCAACTCCACCTTTACCGGATAAAATCAGGATCTTGTGTTTGACGTTAGACAATCTTTCTTTAACCAATTCTATACCGGGATCTGCTTGTTTTGTTGCACCTGATGCGCATAATTTTTGATTTGGACATCCTGCACAAGCAGATGCTTTACCAGCCTGTTCACTCTTTGTTCCAGGACAATCTGCAAATATTTTAATAATTTTCTCTCTTATAAGCAAAGATTTGTTAAATAATTGTAATTTGAAAATATTGTAAAAATTTATAATAGACTTTTATTTATAAGAAATTTTTTATTTATATTTGTAATAGCCTTATGTGAATTATATTAAATAGTGTTTATTGCGTTATTTATTGTAATTATACTAGTATGCACTTTACAAAATAATTCTAACCTATAATTCATTTCTGTTATTAATGACAACATTATTACTTACTAAAAGAGTTTAAATTCTAACGCAGAACAAGTATAAGCAATAAAACAATTAAAATTGATATAATTATTAAAATAATAAAAAAATTATAAACGACAATAAATCAATCTTACGTTCTGGTGCTTCGCCTGGTACATCTGCCATGTTGAGAAGTATAACTAATACTAAAATTATACTTATCAAACAAATCAGAGGTTAGAATATAAATTTATTACAATTAATTTATATTTTTTAAATATATTACATAACTCAATAAACATTCTTTTATATAAATTTCATTTTTCTTTTCATTAATGTTATTTCAATAAGTATAATTATTCGTGTATTGATCATTTATTTCTAAAAATTTGTTTACAAATATTATATATGAAGAATAAAATTCATATTAATTCTAATAACTTAATTTCTATTATTACTTATTAAAAATAATATATGATTTTAATAGCAATTACAGCCATGGAGTTCTGTTGGTTCATCGATGCCATACACAGAATACAAAATTCCTACTCGTGTAAGCGACTACAATCGTACACATCATTTACTACCTTGGAGACCTAATACAGGATTTGAAAATATTGAAGTTATACCATTGTACGTTTACTATTAATTATTACCTAAATTCGTTTAATTATTATATAAACTGTTTAACATATTCTTTTAATAGGGCTAGAAAGTGTATATCAAATTATCCATTGGATGCGACAAGTGGAGTCATGCATAAGCCGTTAAAATTTCCTGATTTGGTAACTGGATGTCATAGAGATCCTGTCCACGCATCACGAGCTGCTCTTTATACAAGATATACTCCAAATGAGTGGTTTCAAAAACAAATTAAATATTACAATGAAGCAGATTCTAATAGACACTTATCAGAAAGATTGAGAAATGATGCTTTAAAAATAGTTAGGTATGAGTATTAAGATTTAATTTAAATTATATTTGTTATAATTAAAATTGTTTATGCATTTATAGGAATGCGGAAGAGAAAATACAATATGGACAATTAGATACTGGAAGAAGATTAGGTGAAAGAATAAATGATGTATCCTTTTGGCGAAATGAAATATCTTCGGAATTAGAAAGATTATTGCAAGAGGTAGAAAGACTTCAGGATTGTCGTTCTGTTTTGGAAAAAGCGATAAGAGATATTGAAGGACCGTTGCATATTGCAGAAGAATGTCTTTATCACAGAGAAGCGAGAAAAGGTATAAAAAATGATTGTATAAATATAATATTACTTAATAATAAATTTATGTGACTACATGTACAGGGACAGAACTCGTTCATGACGAATCAGAAAAATGCTTATTGAGAGAAATAGATAATTTAAAAAACTGTCAGAGAAAATTAGAGGCGTGTCTTGACAAATGTAAAGATCAGGTATATTTGTAAATTTTAAATATAATCTATAAAGTAATATATATGTGTGATATTTTATTTTTATATGTTTATAGTTGCGTAATTGCAGAGCTTCTCAGAATCAATTAGAATTGGACTTGAAGAACAAAGAAAGTGCGTTAGGTATAGATATGATGTGTCATCAATTGAATAATTACAGTCCTGGATTACAATATTATGCAGGGATTGAAAAATATGATCCTTGGTAATAGAATTGCGTTTGGAAATAAATCATTAATTAATTAACCTTTATATCGATTTTTTATTGAATTTTTAGTCTCTCGGAACAAGAATGTTGGTCGGAAGCAGCAAACCGAATAATACAAAAGTCACAACACGAAAGAAATATGTCTAGTCAATTACGAACTTATGCAGAAAGTATTATAAATAAAGTATCTCAAGAAATGTGGGACTCATGGAGTAATACAAACAGTGCTTTGACGCATAGATCTTCAGAGTTACTTGAAGCTAAAAATAAATTGCAACAGCACTTACAAAAAGTATGATTTTAAATGAAATCCATGTGGTGATCATTTTTTAATATTAATGTATTAACATATGTAATAGGTACAGCAGGAAATATTTGATGTTGAAAAAAATATGGAATTGATGCGTAAAGCTATTGCTGATAAAAGTCATGCAACTAGAGTTGCACATACAAGATTAGAAGCTAGAATGCATCGTCCAGATTTAGAATTATGTCGTGATAATGCTTACTTGAGGTATTTATTAACTATTTTCTTAATACAAATTTTATATTTATTTGACTCTAATAACTTGTATTCCTACAGTCTTCAAAAAGAAATAGATGAAATAGATCATCAAGTTAAACGTATGCACAAAGCATTGAAAGAGCTTGAGGATCAGCATCAAAGATTATTGAGAACTAGGACTGCATTGGAACATGATTTAGCTCTTAAAATAGATTCTATATATATAGACAGAGAAAAGGTTTGCGGTCTTCGACGAGCATATCCAGTTAATGCATTATTTAGATTTTAATTATTAGCAATAATATATACATATTTAAAACTATTGATACACACAACTATATATACATATGCATATATAAATATACATACATATACTCTATACTTTATTGAAATAAATATAAAGTGAAATTTCAATGATCAAACATAAAAAATCTACTATATATATTTCTCTGTACAATTATAAAAGTTATATAGGAAATAACTTATGCTTCTTTCGAACTATGATTTTTAATATAACTTGGTATAGGAAGATTGAGATTATTTTTAGATTCGAAAAATGTATACGACAAAGTTACATCATCAATGAATTCCATTTTAGGATCTTCATTGAATTCTGGATCAATATAAAAGAATACTGGCATATCGACCTAAAATATAATTCACATAAGCTTTCTTATTATAAGTATATTAATATTAGTAATACTTTTAAAAAGTTACCTGTTCATGCGGATTCAATAATTGTTCTTCAAAACAAAAGCACTGTATTTTATTAAAATACTGTCCTACTTCAAAAGGAAGTACATTATAAGTAGAGATACCGATAACTGGTTTGTCCGTAGGATTTTTAGCAGTGTAAAATGCTAATGCTGTCTCTCCTGGGATTACTGTTATTTCTTGTTGCAAAGGTTTAAAATTCCATGCCATTGATGCACCTACATCAGCATTGAACCTTATTTTTATCTTTCTTTCTTTAACAGGCTTCATAGTTAATAGTTTGCTATCATCATGACCTGCTATAGTTCCTCCATAACTATATGCCTAATTTATATACAATTTATTCATTGCATCAAATATAATACATTATAATAAAAAATTATCTACATAATATTTTAAAGTTATAAATTTACTATTTTCAAGATATATATATACCTGACAAAACATTCCGTACAATGGTACTGCTGCATAACTAAGCCCAGTTACGAGTATACCCAATCCAGTCATATAAAGTGCTATAGATCGTATATTTCGTTTTTGTTCAGGACTACGATAGTCTTTCATTAAATTTTTAGATATATTTGTAGATATTCTTCTGATAACATAATTGTTAGTTAAACGTTGACAACGTATTAGAAACATTTGTATAACTTAACCTTAAATCACAAATGAGAATATGTTTCCTTTTTTTTGTTAACTATAAAAACACATTTTAATCAATAAAAAAAATTTAATTAAATCTATACTATATATATATAATTCTTAGTAATATTAATTACAGTTATTTTAATAAATATTATCAAATAAATATTCTCTTTTAGTAACAAATATGTCACAAATATATAACTATACACGTGTTTGACTCTGTAATCTGATTGGTCGAATTGAACTACTCCGATATGTGCTTTCAAAGATAAGTGAAGGGGAAATATAAAAAATATATTTCTTTTATCTCTCTCTCGTTTTGCTTTAATTTATATTTAAAGTAAAATATTATTTTAAAATATAATATACTTAATTGAAAGAAGGAAATAATTATTCAATTCATTTCTGTGTTTCATATGAGTCGCATGAAGTACAATGACCGAGATTGTTATAATTAAAATAATTGCTAATTAATCAAGAAAAATGTAAATAATTCTATAAAAGCAAAAAATAAATAAGTACATAAAAGCTCATAAGTCTCCTTTTTTAAATACCCAGATTCATCTTMGTATGAACGTACAGTTGTCGATAATAAGTAATTAACGCGGTGACGRTACACAATACTATAAAAAAATACAGTATTCTTTGGTAGTGTATGACAGTCTATGATATATTTTTTGATAATATATATATATATAGTATAGTTGTATTGTAAGATGAAATTTTAAATAATTATATTTAATTTTTAATGTATAAACATGTGTGTGCCTTCAGAAATGCAATTGAACATATATTTTTAAAAGTAGTCATTTAAGGTGTGTTGTTAAATCCAACGATGATCACCTGTAACAAAAAGAAAACTATATTAATATACAATCAAGTGATACAATGGCCTGACATATAAATCGTCCAATTCTCAGATGCACTTTTCAATTGAATACTCTATTTACTTTTATCAAATCTCTAATTACCGTTGCAATAAAATTAAATTCTAACGCGTGATTTTACATTTACATAAAATAAATAAAAATAAAGAAATAGGAAAAATAGAAATACTAAGTTATTAAAAAAAATAATATCTATTAATTATTATAAAATATTTTTAAACTGCATTATATAAAAAAGAAAAATTGCAAAGTTAATAAAATACGATCGAAATGAAAAATTTTAAAAACGAAATAAGAAAAAATAAATTACTATAATATTTACCGAACGTTATTAAAGCTTCAAAATTTAATATTACGAAAATTTTAATATTTTTACTCTAACTAAAACACATATGCATCATTTTGACGATTAAGACACAAATTTGGTGTCCCAAGGAGATGGAATGGTCCATCATCTCCAATTACAACTACAAATTAATGACGAGCAAGCAAGTAATATAATAAATTATAAAATATGACTAGAGAACTATTCTCGATAGGTTCGAACTTGATGTTGAACCTTTAAAAATAACTCACTAGTCTGTGTAGTTGCCCACTTGATACCACATTTAAGTGGGGGCCTCTTCGGCCTTAGCCTCTTCGGCATTAGCCTCTTCTTTCTTCATTTCCTGAAAACTGCATTGGACATTTTCAAAGTGCAAGCAAGATAAGATCTTTCATACTACTTTAAACAAATTAACTCGTATTTTTTTAATGATTTTAATCATTAATTATTAAAAAATTAATTGACGTTCACTGTTCATTAGTAAAGCTCGTGAACCATGAATGAACTTAGAGTTCATTGACATATACACGAGCACAATTATTCGTATGTCCAAGCAGATAATTATCGATGACCTAATAACACGTCGCACTTTTAATATCAAAAAATAATTGAATTGAAATAAATAATGCAATAAATGTTATGCATTTTCTTGCAATATTTTTATTCAATTTATTCTATATAATATTGAATTATATTAAATATTTCAAAGACTAAATCGCGATAGTGCGAAGTGTTAATTATAATACTTAAAACTAAGTATCGAATTCATCAAAGTATTTGCGAGTTTGTTCGACTCTATTTCCTTCGAGATAGAATCGAAATAGAAATGAATCTTTCAAATCGTTGCAAATCCCTTTGAATCATGATACATAATAAAGATAACAGAAGAGTCACAAAATAAATTTACAAAGCAAGCATAAGAGAATGAAATGATATAATTTTGTAACAATTCTGTATAAACCAGGAGGCGGAATTTCCACTCCGGAGTGGAAG